TGATGCTGCAGAAGGGCTCACCTTTGGTTTATGCTAAGCACTTACTATGGCTTGGATCTAGATGTCTGCCAAGAGCCTCCGGTGCTCAGAGGCAGGATTTTAGGAAGGCAGTTGGGCTATGGGATGCTGTAGCTAACTCGATCTTAGAAGGTCTGGTTGAAAAATGCTGGTCAGTGGAGCCTAACAGGCAAGGGTGCATTCATCTCTCTCCCTGGCTCTTGTGCTTCCCGTGTGGTGATGCGGGCAGCTTTCCTCCGCTAGGCCTCTCTTCTATGCTGTTTTCTGAGTTCTGAACTTGTCAAACATGACTGAAACTTCAAAAACTAAGCCCAAACAAATCTTTCCTCCTTTAGGTTACAGGTGTTGGGGGTCCTGTCCCAGTGACAGGAGTATAAGGCAGCCTTGGAACTGTGCATGGGGAGCAAGGTCCAGCGCCCCTACCTCTCCATTCTACTCTCCTTTGCTCACCATACCAAAGCCTCTTGCAGTGCTCTTCCATCACATGGGCACGCCCAGCTCAAAAGGGATTAATGGTGTCTGCAGCTGCACCCCCACATGCTGAAGTCTTAAACCCCAGCACCGTGATCACAGGATGACTATACTTGGAGATAGGAGCTCCAAAGGGATAACTCAAGCAAAATGAGGCTGGTAGGGTGGACCAGCCAGTGTGACCAGTGTCTTTGAGAAGAGGAAATTTGGACACAGAGGTGTACAGAGGGATGTCAAAAGCTGAGAAAATGAACCTCCACGCCAAGGAGGGAGGCTTTGAAAGAAACCAGCCCTGCTGACACTTTGATCTTGGACTTCAGCCTCCAGAACTATAAGAAAATAAACTTTTGTTGTTTAAACCGCTCAGTATGTGGTTTTTGTTTTGTCCCAGGAATTTGACTCTATTGTTTTGGCTGGAATTCTCTGTTCCTGTGTTCAATTTGAGTATCTCCTTCTCATCGAGGTCATCTCCACTATTCTTAACTAAAACTTAATGCGTCCACCTTGCCATAGTTTAGATCTTGTATGCTTCCCAGAGATCCATGACTTAAAGGCTTGATCCTCAGTGTGGCCCAGTTGGGAGGTGCTGACACTTCTAAGAGATGGGGAGTAGCAACAGCTTTAGGCTGTTGATGAGGTAACCTCCATGAAGGTTATGAGACCTTGGCCCCTTCCTCTTCTGTTTTTTGCTTCTTTCTCTTGAGGTGAGTGGCTTCATGCCAGTGGCCTCACCATGCTGTGCCTGCTGTTGTACCACAGGCCCAGAGCATGGGTCAAGCTGACCATGGACTGGAACTACCCAAACTGTGAGCTAACATAAACATTTTCTCTTTTTGAGTTGATTATTTCAGGCATTTAGTGATAGCGATGGAAAAGTGATTAACACATACCCCTCACAGTCAGCCTCTAATATATGAGTCTGTTCTGTGTTTTTCCTATCTCTACTGGCACTTGATAGTATTTTCTTGTGCAAATTTATTTTCTTGCCCGGACTCCTTCTGGGATGTAAACTTCTTAAAGTTTTTGTTAGTTCCTTTCTACTAAGTAACCTTTGTAAGGGAATGGTTCTGGCCTCCTGAAGACATTTGTGCAAGGTTCATGAAATTTTGTATCTGCCATGGCTAGTTGCAAATTATTCTGTCTTTCACTTGTTCCAAATTCAGGCTTGTAAAGATGCATTTTTATTAAGTTATGTGACTTTTACAGGAGGTCAGGCTTCTCTCCGATATGGCCTGTAGATGCCAGTTATCTGCTTTGCTTATTAGTGACAGTGGCTGCATGCTAACATCAGCCTTTCACCCTCTCACTTTTAATGTGCTCCTCGGAATCTGTGTGTCCTTTGTTTATGTATTATTTTTATGGAAACAGTGTTCTATATATTAAAATACTGGGAAGGAAATATTAAACATCCTCTGGCAGGGGAAGCTTCTCTCTACTTAGAGTCAGAATTGAAAAGTGATTTCCTCACTGGGCAGAAATACAGATGCATGAAGTCTCTTGTGTACCTCATTTCATATCCTTCACCCCGTAACAGTAGTTCAGGGATATTAATCCTGCTTGCCCGTTGTGGTGAGGACTACATATCCTTATATGAGCACACATATGGTAGGATATTAGAAATGGCGGAAGTTCTATTTATTGTGTAATGAAACCCAATTTTGCCAGACATTTACCACTGGGGTTAGCTGTTTCACAACTTCATATGGAAATGCTATATTTGAAAGTGTATGTTCTTTAATAATTTTTCTTTCCTGATATGGGTGAATAGCAATCTGGGAGCTACCAGATGAAATAAAGAACTGTGATAATCTGTTTTACTCTTGGGAAGAGAAATGAAGGTGACAACAAAAAGACAGATCAACTTGTTAATGTTTCAAAAAGAGATATTGTTAGAAATAAATATAATTTCTTTAACATGCCAGTGATTTTTAGTTTAGATAATATTATTACCTCTCAGAAACTGGAACATTTAACTGAGTCACAGGATTATTCCAACCCTGAAATGGGATAGAAAACATTAAAAAAATATATTTTTTGTTATAAAGAAGCAAGGGAAAATATTGATTATACAAATGGAAACATAAATTGAACTCAGAGCACAGAGGAGGAAACAATTTGTGAACTGCTATTTTCTTGGGATAATTCTATAGTTTACAACTACAGAATTAGCTGCGAGCTGCTCTCATACCTGACCTGTAACCCTAGATTGACAACTGGCATATTCCTTAGTGATAAAGAGGTGCTTCCTTCGTTTGGTTGTCAGCTGCCAGAGCTGTTGTACCAGAGAACCAGGTCACTGAGAGTGCATAGACCTGTGAAAGATTCACACTGAAATGGCACAAAATCAGACCCCTGTTTGGGACTTTGGTCTAACGGCAAAATTTAAAATCCAGGTAGTGATTAAAGTAAAACCTCCTTGTTTCAAGAAGTTTATTCATTTTTTTTAAAAAGGTCTATTAGTAACTGAATGCATTTACAGTTCTGAATAACCATATGTATGGTCTATAGTAAACAACCTGAACAGCCTTTCTAAATGAGCTCTTTATATTCAGCCTCTGGAAACTTGTAATTACATTTGAGGCAGGACATGTGATACCAGAAGATATAAAGCCACACAGCCCCAACTGCCACTTGAATTCAGTGGAGGCAGCTCAGCAAGATCAGCAGAACACACACGAAAACCATTGCCATTAATCATATCTTAAAGTGGAACAGAAGAAAGCTTTTCCTTAAAAACAAATAGATTTACCCTTTTTTCATTAGTACAAGGCTTTTGAAATAAATTGTGATAGGGGTGCATTTCAGCAGCAATTTCTCTTTCTGTCTTACATTTTTTATCTTGCTTGGTCATTTTAGGAAATTATAGGCATAAATACTGTCATAGCATTTTCAATTTGAAAAATATAAGCCTGAGGTGTAACTTGAGAAAAAAATAAGAACAAAAACAAAACGTCTCTGATGTTTAGCAACTCTGCAATAAAATGTGGGTCTGTTACAGTAATTTCTTCCCATCTCCAGCTATGAGAAGATGCCTTAGGAATAAACATACATACCCAAGGAAATGGTTACATATTTGGATATGAACCATCTTTGAATAAATGGCTGTGCTATGGACATATTTATGTTAGCAAAAATACAAAGAATTCAAAACAATACTATTGCTACATAGAAATTTAATAGTTTACTAATAGTTTTACTGACTGCAAGAGCATTTTATAAATTTTCTTATTCTTTCTAATTTTCATTCATTTAAAAAAATAGTTGCAGAGTCATACTGAGTTTTACAGTTAATGGCAATGAACACCAGGAGTCTGAAATTTCTCATTCCTATTTAGGAGTAGTTTTGACATGCTTGTGATTTACCTTCTAATTGTTTAGATTAGAATTAGGTCCAACCTGATTTCTTTTCAGTATTTGTTCTGTTGGGTTGTGTTAACTATGAGTGAGGTCAACTCTGTCCTTAAAAGTCTGTGACACTGGTTGGTGTGGTTGGAGCCAGTGAACCCTGCAAATGAGTGAAAGAATCATACAAATCGACATGGCCATGGCCATTGTTAGCCACACACATGGTGCCCAATGGGACATAGACACCATTCTCCAAACATGCACCTCATTTCCTTCTTTTTTAAAATTTAAATTAATTTTAAAATTATATATGAACATTGTGTATATTAATTGATGTTTTGTATACCTAGACATTGTACAATGTTTAAATAAAGTTAAACATATCTATTTCTTCAAACATTTATCATTGATTTATTGCAAAAGCATTCAAAAAATCCTTTCTTCTAGGTTTCTAATATATGCAGTACAATTTTAAATATGCTACTGTACTATGCAATAGCACATCACAACTTTTTTTGAAGTACTTATCCATTAATAGAACCAAAATTAATAACAACAAGAAATTCCACCAAGGATTGAAAAATAACTTCTTAAAAACATGCAATGTTGAGAATCATGCCTTTCCATGAACCAGGCTCGGCCATGGGGATTGAGAAGAATCTCAATGAGAAGCAGAATTTCACCTTCCCGTGAACCAGCCGTGCATGGGCGGGGATACCTGAAGACCATTCCCCCCTGCCCTGTGGTAAGCAATAGCTCCATGTTTGTATTGTTTGGTTGACTTTGCAGGCCTAGGGCTAGAGGTCTGGGCATCTATTTGAAAGATAGTAGTGTACATTGTGGCAACTGTGGGGGTATTCTGATGTCTTATTTTTGAAATCCAATGTTTTGCTCCATTTTACTGTTTTATTTTATTCCTGTGTCTGGTAACTTGAGCAACTATTTTGAAGGCACCAATGTGCAGTATCACAACCATTGTTAAATTCCTATCACCTCGTTTTGAAAGCCTATATAGCTGTTCTTTTCTTTTGTGGTTGTTGTTATCATTTTGCTTTTGTTATTTTTTTAGGTTTATTTGCTTCTTGATTTATCTGGTATTTTTTCTCTTTAAAATAAAGATATACATATATGTATATATATATATATATATATATATATATATATATATAGACGTGGAACACTTCCTGAACCTGTGTGTCTGGCTTCACAGGGGCCATAGTAATCTCCGTATCATTCCAGTTTTAGTGTATGTGCTACAGAAGTGAGCACCCCAGAGCTTCTTATACCTCATTTTAATATATCTGATGTTTGCATGTCTTTTTTCTCTATTTTGTCCAATTTTGACCTTTTGTATTTTCAACTATTTTTTTTTAGGACCCAGATCCAATCATTTTTCTTCATTAAAGCTTCTTGAATCTACTTCATTCATTTCCCTTCAGAGATAATCTGTTCTTAAATTTTTATTTATTATTATTTTTCTTTTTTTTTATTTTTTATTTTTTTATTTAAGAGGAAAAAGAGAAAAACACAAAACAAACCAAAGCGGCGTAAGGGTACACGCAATACAGAACTACAAAAAAACAAAACAAAACAAAACAAAACAAAACAAAACAAAAAAACATAACAGTAAGAAATCACCTGCTAGTAGATTACACACTATCTTCTTGAAAATAGTTCCTCAAATCACAGTATCAAAGAACACAAAGTGGACATTCAAACAGGGAGACTGCAAACAGCTGTGTTCAATGTTCCAAAAACATTGATAAAGTCAGCTATTTAACACCCCCAAACACACTTGCTGTTATATCCGTTAGAGCTCTTTTTCTTTTTTTTTTTCCCTCTCTTTTTTACAACAAAATTCACACATCTTGGATTTTATTACTCATTAGTGCTTATTACTTTCTTTGGGGGGGGGAAGAATACAGTCAAATATGGCAAAACAAAGCTGTCAGTCAATACCAAGGATAGACATAGCACATGGTGTAGAACAGAGTACAAGTTTATCAACAATGGTTATCAACGTTGTCCCTTGTTTCCTTAAAAAGAATTGTCTATCTTATTAGATATTATAAAGTTGGACAAAACAGTAGAGAACAAGACCAATAAAACTTAGGCATTGTAAACATTACAGGACTTCCAAAGAAGACAATAGTCAAACCAGAATGGGTATCTTAGTGAATCTTATTGTCTTCAAAGTAGTTGCCTATGTCTTCAAACTTGATACTATCATATAGAATGGAACAGAGTCTAATCAGTCAAAACAAGATCGTGGGAGTACTACAGGACTTCAAAACAAGTTAATAGGAAATCGAAAAGAGTTACTATTCATATATCCTAATTTTTTTGAATTTTTTCTTTAATTAAGACAAACATAAGAAATGACTAAATAATTTTTTTGAAACAATAAGGGGGAGATTGAGATAAAACAGGACATAACAATATAACAATAGAGGTCACAGCATGACTGTTTCAACAACCTAGTACTTCACCACCTTATAACCTGACTTAATAGTAGTTACCATAGTGTCTTTTTCCTTGAAATATTTGGATAAAACTTCATATACTCTAGCTTCAAATATTTTCATATCAAGAAGCCCAGAATAAAGCCTTTCTAATTAATGAGTGAAAACTTTATAAGGCTTCAAGGCCACCTAATGGGGAATCATGATTACCACATATTTTTATATATTTGAATCATTATTTACATTAGGGAAACTATTCGGTATTCACACATGCGAGATTGATTTATTTCACTAATGAGTATGGTCTCAAGCTGCGCCCATTTATTGATAAATATCTCAATGTGATCCTTCTTTATAGCTGAATAATACTCCATTGTATAGAAATACCACAACTTTTTTATCCATTCCTCAGTTGATGGGCACTTGGGTTGTTTCCAAGATCTGGCGATTACAAATTGTGCTGCTATAAACATAGGTGCACATATATCACTGTGGTATGATGCTTTCAGTTCTTCTGGGAATATGCCTAGAAGTGGAATAGCTGGAATAAATGGGATTTCCAGTCCCAACTTTTTGAGAAATCTCCAGACAGATCTCCACAAAGGCTGTACCAGTCTACACTCCCACCAGCAGTGCAGGAGAGTTCCTTTTTCCCCACAGCCTCTCCAGCATTTGTTGTCGGTTTTCTTGATCCTGGCCATTCTTTCAGGAGTGAGATGGTATCTTAGTGTGGTTTTAATTTGCATTTCTCTAATGACCAATGATGATGAGCATTTTTTCATGTATTTATTTGCCATTTGCATTTCTTCATCTGAGAATTGCATATTCATCTCAGATGTCCATTTTTGGATTGGATCTTTGAATTTCGGAGGTCTGAGTTTCTTTAATTCTTTGTATGTTTTAGACAAGAGGCCCTTGTCTGAGAGAGAGTTCACTAAAATCTTTTCCCAGTTTGTGGGTTTTCTTTTCACTATGCTGGAGATTTCTTTTGACATGCAGAAACTTTTTAATAAGAAGTGGTCCCAGTTATTGATTCTGGGAAGTATTTCCCGTGCGGTTTGAGTCCTGTTCATGAATTCTTTACCTACTCCTATGTCTCCAAGGTTTCTACCTATTTTGTCTTCCAATAGATTTAGTGTTTCTGTTTTAATATTCAGATCTTTGACCCATTTAGATTTTAATTTAGTACATGGTGATAGACATGGGTCTAGCTTTAGTTTTCGGCAAATGGAGAGCCAGTTTTTCCAGCACCATTTATTAAAGAGACTGTCGTTCTTCCAGTGAACCTGCTTGGCTCCTTTATCAAAAATAAGGTGGTTGAGTGTGTTCGTAGTTGTGGTTGTATCTTCTAATCTATTCCACTGATCTTCAGCTCTGTTTTGATTCCAATACCATGTTGATTTTACTACTGTTGCTTTGTAGTATAACTTCAAGTCAGGGATTGTGATGCCTCCTGCTTTGTCTTTGCTGCTTAGAATTGCCTTTGCGATTCTAGGTCTCTTCTGGTTCCAGGTGAAATTTAGGAGTGATTTCTCTAGATCTATAAGGTATGTTGATGGTATTTCTATTGGGATTGCATTGAATCTGTATAACAGTTTTGGGAGAATGGCCATTTTCACAATGTTTGTTCTTCCTATCCATGAGCAAGGGATGTCTTTCCATTTTCTGAGATCATCTTCAATTTCCTTTTTCAGTGTATTATAATTTTCACTGTATAAGTCTTTCACTTCTTTCGTAAGAGTAATTCCTAAATATTTCATTTTTTTGCTTGCTAATGTGAATAGTCCAGTTTCTCTTATTTCCCTCTCTGTAATTTTGTTGTTCGTGTATAGGAATGCTATTGATTTCTGAGTATTGATTTTGTATCCAGCCACATTACTGAATTTATTTATTGTATCTAAGAGTATTTCAATGGAGTTTAGGGGGTCTTCTATGTAGAGTATCATGTCATCTGCAAACAATGATAATTTAACTTCTTCTTTTCCTATCTTTACCCCTTTTATTTCTCTTTCTTGCCTAATTGCTCTGGCTAGTACTTCCAGTACTATATTAAATAGGAGTGGTGATAAAGGACATCCTTGTCTTGTACCCAATTTTAAAGTAAAGGCTTTCAATTTTTGGCCATTTAGAATGATGCTGGCTGTTGGTTTGTCATAAATGGCCTTTATTATATTGAGGTAAAGACCATTTATTCCAATTTTCTGTAAAGTTCTTATCATGAATAAGTGTTGGACCTTATCGAAGGCTTTTTCTGCATCTATAGAGATGATCATGTGATTCTTATTTTTGGCTTTATTGATATGGTGGATTACATTTATTGATTTGCGTATGTTGAACCATCCTTGCATTCCTGGGATGAATCCCACTTGGTCATGGTGTATAATCTTCTTGATGATTTGCTGGATCCTATTTGCCAATATTTTACTGAGGATTTTTGCATCTGTGTTCATTAGGGATATCGGTCTATAGTTCTCTTTTATAGTTGGGTCTTTCTCAGGTTTTGGTACTAGAGTAATATTTGCTTCCAGGAATGACTTAGGAAGGATTGCTTCCCTTTCAATTTCATTGAATAGTTTGAGGAGTGTCGGCATTAGGTCTTCTTTATATTTCTTGTAGAATTCTGCAGTGAATCCATCTGGGCCTGGGCTCTTCTTGGTGGGCAAGGACCCAATTACATTCTCAATTTCATTAGCAGAGATTGGGTTATTCAACAGTTTTATATCCTCTTGATCTAGCTTTGGTACTTCATATGCTTCTAAGAATCTGTCTATTTCTTCTGTGTTATCAAACTTTTGAGAGTAGAGGTTTTCGAAATAGGTGTTGATGATCCTCTGTATTTCTATTGGGTCTGTAGTGATTTCTCCTTTTTCATTTCTTATTGCATGAATTTGAGCTTTTTCTTTCCTTTTTAAAATAAGGTTGGCTAGGGGCTTATCGATTTTATTTATTCTTTCAAAGAACCAACTCTTTGATTCGTTGATTCTTTGGATTGTTTTCTTAGTCTCTATTGCATTGATTTCTGCTCTGATTTTTATAATTTCCTCTCTTCTTTTGGCTTTGGGCTTGACTTGCTCTTCTTTTTCTAGCTGTTTGAGGTGTAGCATCAAGTTATTTATTTGTATTCATTCTGTTTTCCTGATGTGGGATCTCAGTGCAATAAATTTTCCTCTCAGAACGGCTTTCATTGCATCCCACAGATTCCGGTAAGTTGTATCTGCATTTTCATTTTCTTTTAGGTATTGTTTAATTTCTTCTGTGACCCACTGATTACTCAAGAGTGTGTTATTTAGTTTCCATGTGTTTGCAGAATTTTTGCAGTATCCTTTGTCATTAATTTCTAATTTCAGAGTGCTATGATCCGATAATATGCAAGGGATGATTTCAACTCTTTTGCATTTGCTTAAATATGTTCTGTGAGCTAATATATGGTCTATTTTAGAAAATGATCCATGTACTGCTGAGAAGAATGTGTATTCTGATGTTGTTGGGTGGAACATTCTGTATATGTCTATCAAACCCATTTGTTCACAGGTGTGATTCAGTTCTGTTATTTCTTTGCTCATTTTCTGTCTGGTTGATCTGTCCCTTGGTGTCAGTGGTGTATTAAGGTCTCCTGTTACAATTGTGTTACTGATAATTTGAGTTTTCATTTCTGTTAATAATTGTTTTATATAACTGGGTGCTCTGGAGTTTGGTGCGTATATATTTAAGATAGTTATCTCTTCCTCTTGGAGTTTTCCCCTTACGAGTATGTAGTGACCTTCTTTGTCCTTTATGGTCATTGTTGGTTTAAAGTTCACGTTGTCT